CACGCAACACGCTTATCGTTAAACCTAAGTTTACAAAACACAGCGATAAACTGTATTATAGGTCAGCATCAGTCAGGGCGAGATGCCCATAACAGGTGAAGGCAAATGGCTAAGCTACAAACAACTCGGCCTTACTTTAACCTAGCTTAACAGGTTGTGTGAACCCAACCACTGAGGTAAAAAACATTTATTCCCTCAATTAGTGCACCTGATTGCAATAAAAATGCACAAACGTTCCCCCTGGGATTATAATAACCACGCAGAAGCGGGAAAAAAACAGGCTTTTTATGTGTAGAAAATACAGAGGGGGCTTTAATGCTGAAAGAGATATTCCGTCAGTACATTTTTGCTCGCTGTCTTTCTTTTTGAAAGAAGTCTTATATTTAAGTAATAAACATTTTCCTTTGGATTTCTCAGTTAATATCTGATGCCTTGTTAACTGTAAATGTTTGCACGCTTCTGATCTGAATTCTCTTCCTTGGTGAATTCATGCAGTCACCCATTAGATTTCTTGACAATAAAAAAATAGATTGCTACAGTAGTGGCCAAAATTGTGGAATTGTGGAAAGGAGAATCAATTTCTATTTTCTAGGGAAATAAGAGAACTCTTTAAACAGCAATAACAACATCTAAGGATATCAGAAAAGGCTTTGGTTAATATATATATATATATATATATATATATACATACATACATATATATATATATATACATACATACATATATATATATACACATATATATATACATACATACATACATACAGTAATGGCCAAAATTGTGGAAACCTTTTGGGAAAAGTGTATTTTCTAATACTAGCTAATAACACCACTTTTTTTGGGAGTAGTACTGTAAAATTATATATCAATGGAAAGATAATTTAATCAAGAATGTAATGCAATAACTTTTATGAAGGATTTGCTATTACTGTAGAATAGCAGTTATAAAGAAGAAAAGTGAAACACATAGAAAAAATGAGATATACAAAAAGTATCACCATGTCAGTTAATCCTTAGTTGGGTAACCTTTAGCATGAATGACGGCCTGACAATGTCTTCCCATGGAGTGAACCAAGTCTTTTAGCTCTGCAGCTGTTATAATGAGAAACCAAGATTGAAGGATGGCTTCTATTAACTGGGTTTTATTGCTGGGTCGCTTCTGACTAGCAAGTTTTTTTAGTCGGCTCCATAGATTTTCAATTGGGTGAAGGTCTGGGCTATTTCCAGACCATCCGAACAGTGGAATATGATTATCTTGAAACTGCCCCCCAAAAGTGGTATTATTATCCATCAAACCTCAAAAATATACTTTTCTAAAAAGGTTTCCACAATTTTGGCCACTACTGTATTTATTTGTTTATTTATTTATTTGTGTTTTTTTTAATTTATAGTTAGTTAGTTAGTTCTCACCTTTATTATTTTTACAAATAATCTAAAGATATTCAACACAATTTCCTCTCCTATTTTTCCTCACAATGACAACAACCCTGTTAGGTGGTGGGGGGTGGGAGAGAGAGAGAGAGAGAGAGAGAGAGAGAGAGAGAGAGAGAGAGAGAGAGAGAGAGAGAGAGAGAGAGAGAGAGAGAGTGGATTGGCCCAAAGTCCCCCAATTGGCTTTCATGTCTAAGGCGGGACTTGAACTCTCAGTCTCTAATCTCCTGGTGATTGGCCCAAAGTCACCCAGGTAGCTTTCATAGCTAAGGCGGGACTTGAACTCGTGACCTCCTGCTTTTTAGCCTGGTACTTTAACTACTAGACCAAACTGACCCTTTGTCATCTTCCGGGATGTTTTATATATAAACCGTATTATATAAGTAACATGATAGGTTATATATTGTATGTTCCTCCGACCTGTTTGAGGAATTCTGGGAGTTGAAGTCCACAAGTCATAAAGTTGCCAAGGTTGGAGACCCTTGTTGTATGTTGCATGTTATACCTATATGCATATCCTGTACATTACATTCATCAGCTAAATAGATTGCTGCTCAATGTGTAACATTTGATTTCCTAGTCCTTGCAGCCCAATTTGCTTTCAAGGAAGTATTTTTTTTTCGAGTGGCTTCCGAGATGAAAGTGAAGTCTGTACACAACCTTTAGAAGTAGCTTGGCAGCCATTCACATGTTGCGGTGAACCTGTTAGGCACGCCCAACGCCTCTTCACCCCCCGACATGACCCTGCCATCCGTGGCCACATGGAAGGCTGCTTTTATGATTTATCCTTGTTTTCTAGATAAGCAGCTGAAAGTGAACAAAAATAATCGTTAATGACCCTAACAACAACTTAATAATAATAATAATAATCAAGTTTTTCATGCCACACATTCAGAGCAAAGAAATCCCAAATTAAAATTCACCATCCAATCACAGCTCAACTATTTTCAGCCTAATAGAATAGATAGAATTCTTTATTGGCCAGGTATGATTGGACACACAAGTGTGATTGGACACATAATGTGCATATATACTATACATACACACACCTTGAATTTCAATGGATCCT